ATTTATTTATATATATAGCGATACTGAAAAGAAGTTACGCACTGTATATAAAGAGTGAGAAATTAACGCCGTTGCTGCATTTATTCCAGTATTGCTAGAAAGAATGGATTCTATGTCTGAGGTGAGTGGGTAGAGACGTGATTGTACTGATATCGTTGCTTATTCACAGGTAATGCTAGCATGTTAATTACTATCTATTACGGTTATTAGGAATAACCGTTATTGGGGTTAATTTGCTTAGAATGCCCGTATTTGCTCGTAGCTGGGTCGTCATTGTCCATATATTACAAGCTCCATTGGAAGCTCATTCGATACATCCTTACACATTTTCCCACCACTCGGGATACATTCTCATTCATCACCTGACACCAGGGGGAGCTGGCAAAGCTCGTCAAGCGGTTGGCAAACGACAGAAAGACGTTCATAACCGAGTTGCGCGACTACGAATGGAGACTTGAACAGGAGGCAAAGGTACACCATCACACCACTCGGGCAAATACATCGAACTGCCGTCAAATTCAAGTCAATTAGACTGACTCCATACACGTCGTTGAGAATCAACTCCCTTGTGGGCTCAGGCACATTGACGTTTAGAGTCAGTCTAATTGAAATAGGGGGGGGGGATTTGAATGATTGGGAATTCTACTTGAAAATTCGATTGAGCATAATTAGAATAATGGTAAAGCCGGTCGAGGTTGGGTTGTCAGCGCTGAGATTTTTTTAATTGCCATGTCTTAGAACAGTGAGTAGAGAGCACCACTTTAGGTGGTTGACTTAAATAGGAGACCAGCACAAAGCGCATCGCTATGATAACCTTTGCCTTCGAAACAGAGGTTTCCAGGAGGTACACTCAAAGTGTGAAATTTTATTGCAGCCGTGCTTATAAAGTGTAAAATAGCATGAATAGTAACTTTTAACGACTGCGAATCGTACAGGCATTCCATAAGGCCCACGAATCGAGGAAGGTCTACCTGACAGATTTGAGCCACACGAAACGACTCCACGAGAATCCAACCCCAAGATCAGATGGCGAAAGGATGCTTAAAGATTTGACGCAAAAGGAGAAACGGTAATCTTCATCCCCGTGTATCTCAGCATCCTCTCATCTTCATCCCCGTGTATCGTAGCATCCTCTCATCTTCATCCCCGTGTATCGTAGCATCCTCTCATCTTCATCCCCGTGTATCGTAGCATCCTCTCATCTTCATCCCCGTGTATCGTAGCTTCCCCACATTTACCACGTTTGCGTCATTGCGTTCGTAACCTTTACCTCATTAACGTTATATCTCACTCTTTCGTGAAAACTACGTCACAATTTGTGTGATATTTTGTTGCTGACCTTACGTAATTAGTAACCAAGTCATCGTTGCGTTCAACTCTTAAAAAATCAATGCTCCCCAAGGGCCAAGGTCGTCACGGAAATATTGATTATCGCCACCGACGAAACATATATGAAACTGGCTACTGTTGACTTTACCTAAACGCTGCCTCGATCAGTCCAGCGATAATGACTATTCTCGGTACCCTCGCATTCTACCCGAGGCACTATTGTTTACGAGGCTATTCGCGCTACGCAGGAATATCGCCTCTGACCACAGAATCCTAGACCAAAAGAAAGGCCCGATAAACAGGAAGGCGACTGTTAAGCGACTTCCGAAGTTGGACATCGACGATAGAAGCACGTTCTCCGACGGTTCGAACAACCACACGAACCATTCGTCGCTGAACAACCTGGACGAACCGGACCCGACTGCCTACATGAACAACGGCGGTCACAGAACCATGGTAGTCAGCGGTCATAAGCCCGAGTACGACCTAATGCAGTACTCGGTGCAACCCAAAAACGGTACGCAGTGCAACGGGATCATTTCACCCTCAATTATTAATTAGATAATTAATTATTTAATTAGATAATTAGATAATTAATTATTTAATTAATAATTGTAATAATAATTAGATAATTAAGAAATTAATTAGATAATTAATTAGTTAGACAGTTATTATGATAATTAAATAATTAATTAATTAGATAATTGTACTAATAATTAGTTAATAAGTTAATTAATTAATTAGAGATTGGTGACATATGTTTTCGTCGCGCTTTACTTCGGCCATTCGTTATACGCGCGCTAGTGCAGAGCAGTGCAGCGACGCAGCCAGTGATGTGTTTACTTGTGCATGTATTTCGGGTTGGCACGACGTACGTGACTGTAGCCTTTCCTGCTGCTATTACATATGAAGAAGTGAAGCTTGTATATGGTGCCAAAATACACGTGTCGCATGTGCCGCGGCGCTTACATATCAGGCGCGGCTGGTTGGGTTGAAGATTGAGAAGGTACCATAACATAATGTCGGTAAACTCTTCTGGGCTTTAGTCACGCGGTAATTCTCTGACCACTAATTTATGGTTTATCGCTTTTCTATCGCCTATTTCTTGTGGTATTGATGAAGATATTGGAATATTTTCCGCCCGGAGAATTTGGCCAGCTTGCCCTAGCAGTATATATGTATAAAACAAAAGGATTTGACGCTTTCAGGTGGACAAAGCCTGCCCTATTATCGTAAGTAATACAGTTGTCCTCAATCATTACATGTCAGTGATCACTTTGCAGTAAACATAATAATACCTTCAATACAGATGAACGTACTCTACTATTGTACGCATGCAAGAAAACGTTGGGTCAATGCAATATCACTGTCGGCGATATTACAATCCGAATATATGTATAACCACGTGCTTACTGTAACAAGGAATCGATTTCTTCCTTAGGTCAGAGCAATAGATCTGGCACAAATAAAAGCCCTGTGAACTTCCGCTGAAATTTTCCCGTCTAGCGTCAGTTGGCAGGGTTAACGACGGTGAGTCCAAAGACTCACTTGAACCGTTCACGACACCCATTTTTATTTCCACATTTTAACATTTGTTTTGATGCCGATGGAAATGTGCAAATTTGCCTATTTTATGAAAGTATTTCTTTTGGTAACAACGAATGAAAGAAAAACAAGTCAAGCAATGAGTTGGGTCATTTATATTTCTTTAAATGATGATGATGATGATGATGATGATGATGATG